AGGCTCTCCTCCAATTCGGCAGACCCTGGAACATGTAGCCTTCGATTGTCAGGCTCACGAGAGGGTGGAGCCGACCGCTCGAGCTTCTGCCATGAGCCACTGTGGCGAAGCGGATCCTCACCAGTTCGTCTCTCTTCATCAGGAAAGGTGGGGCAGTCCTCCCACGCTCGGAATAATTCAGCATCACCTCTTTGATGGTGTCCTGGCTGTTGTAGTCGACGTTGTGAGGCGGGTCCTCCTGACGTGCCCGCGCGGCGATCCACTGGTGTGAGCTGTCTGTCGTCACGATGTGCTCTGCGCTGTCGACGTTGACCACGAACGCTGCGGGAACCACTGGCATCACCCTCGCGGCGACGCTGCCTACGCCGATCCCGCGTGGGACTAGAGGAGGACCTCGACGTGCCGCTTGAAGCCATAGCGAAAAACACCGCCGTGGCCAGAACAGAGGGACGGGACGATTCACCTGTAACCGAACGGCAGCGATCTCAACACCACGGAGAAGACAGCACGCCAAAACATGGAAGATATGGAACCCTGGCGGGCGGCAGCTCGCCCCTGAGTGTGGCTGCGTGAACGAAAGAGCAATGGGCTGGAATGGGAGCCTACCCCGCTTAGGCAGTGGAAAAGACCACCTTGGCTACTTAAGCCAAAATGGCTGCGGATGATGATGAAGAGGAGAAGGAGGAGGAGGAGGAGGAGGAGAAGGAGGAGGAGGAGGAGGGGGATGAGGAAGAGAAAGGAAGTATGTATTCAAATAAGCCAGGTCGAACGCGTGAGCGGGCCCCGCCCACGCCCACGATCCCTCCCATAGCTGGCCATTGCGGCACAACTTGATGCGGCACTTGGTTTGGGAAGCGCTCCCGCCTCCCAGACGGAAGGCGCTCGCGCGCGGTCCCACCTCGGATTATTTTTCGGTCGGGTGTGTCCCCCCACAAGGGGATTCTGGAAGAAAAAGAAAAATGCGGAAAAAGAAACAAAACTGATCCCAAATGCGCAAACAGTCGTCCCCAGACTATTTGGGGACCATTTTCGAAGATTCCTCCTGTAGAGGGACAGGCCCGACTCAACATCTCCGACGCGGAAGCGGGACCCCAGAGAAAACCTTGCGCGGCACTGCGGCGAGAGCACCATCTAATTAGCCGCCCCTCGGGCGGCCACGCTCCCGATAGGAGCGCGGCGAGGACAAAGCCGTGCGCCGCGCCGAGAGAGCTCTGCCGCGTTCCCCTGCAGAGAGCGAGGGGGCTGGGCGGGGGCAGCGCTGCCAACCCGCCCTCGCGCGGCCCGAGATGCCGCTGCCGCTCATCGTGCGAGCCGGCGCACGAGAGGCGTGCGCTTTGCCCACGCGGGAACGCCGCCCAAGCGACGCGTAGACAGAGCGAGGGCGAGGTCGGCACGTCGCCCGCTGGCGCGGAACCTGAAAAGCTTTGGCGAGCAGCACGCATCCCCAGACCTCCGACGCCGTGGTTTTCTCGCAACGTCGACCCCCAGAGGTCTGGCCCCCTTCACCGAGACCGGTTCTTCATCCCGGGTTGATTTTTGCTAGCGGTCCCGGGGCCCTGTACGGGCCCCCCGAGGCCGAAAATATAAGGAAACCTCCCGCCGAGATTTTGTTTCCTGACCCGAGGGGAAAGCATGCTACGCATGTGATGAAGTCAATGACGAGAACATGGACTGATTGGCCATGGTGAGGCGGCTGTGATGCACGCCTCGAATACCGCTATGATGCGAATCTGGCCCCGAACCGTGTTCAAGGAGACGTTGAGGTCGGAGGCCTGTGATGACCTAGGTCCGCCGCGCCCGTGGCGGGAAGAGCGCCACTGTCACGCGAGGCCTGCGCGGCGCCGGGGTGCGAGAGCGACGGCCTCGCCCGCTCGCGGAGAACGCCGACGACGACCTGCGTCGACCTCGCCACAAAGACCCGAGCGGCAGCTCCACCCGCAGGATAAATCCGCCTCCTCCTCCTCCTCTCCTCCTCATCCCTCCCTCCCTCCCTCCCTCCCTCCCTCCCTCTCTCCCTCCTCCCTCCTCCCCTCTCCTCTCCCTCCTCCTCCCTCCCTCCTCCTCCTCCTCCTCCTCTCTCCTCCTCCTCCTCCTCTCCTCCTCCTCCTCCTCCTCCTCCTCCCTCCCTCTCTCCTCCTCCTCCTCCTCCTCCTCCTCCTCCTCCCCCCCCTTCTCCTCCTCCTCCTCTCCCTCCCCTCCTCTCCTCCTCCTCCTCCTCCTCTCCTGCTCCTCCTCCTGCTCCTCTCCTCTCCTCCTCCTCCTCCTCTCCTCCTCCTCCTCCTCCTCCTGCCTCCTCCTTCTCCTCCTCCTCCCTTCCTCCTCCTCTTCCTCCTCCTCCTCCTCCTCCTCTTCTCCTCCTCCTCCTCCTCCAAACGCGCGCCGCAAGCCCGAGCAGGACCTCCAGTCGCAGGAGAAAAAGTCAGGGCGAGAGCGGCGGCTTCGACGAGGCGCGCCGCGGCCCACTCCCGCCAAGCATATGATTTTGCAGCGTCGGCGCTGAAACGTCCACGTTGAAAGCCAAAGACATAAACTTTGAATTGCTCCACGTACCTGAAATTTAGCGCTCGTGCTGTTGAGTGTGACGCATCCGCCTCCCCTCTTGTTCTCTCTCCTCCCTCTCAGATCCCGCATGCCCGGACCCATCCGTACTCGGACTGAGTCACACCCAGACTCACTCGGACACAGACTCACTGACACTCAGATTCACTGGTGCCCCGACTCAATCGTACGCAGACCACCCACACCAAAATCCACACCCAGACTGACTCACACTCTCACGCATACTCAGACTCACTCACTCACTCAGATCCAGAGGCTCAGACTCGCCCATAATCACACTCACCCAAGCACAGACGACTCTTATCCAGATCCACGCATACTCGTCCACGACATACTAGGACTCATGCTCATTCGCACTAGGACTCATGCTCATACGCACATACCGACCGTTCACACTCAAACTCACGCAGACTCAGGCTCACACTCAGCGCTGCCCACACTCAGCTACTCATGCGCAAAACGGTATAGCAGGCGTGGCACTTGGACGCCGTAATGGGAGAGCCGCCAGGGAGTGTTTCGCGGGTCCGTTGGCGCCAAGAGAAAGTGGGAGGATGTCTCAAGCGGCTCGCTGGTTTCTGCGTCCCAGACTCATCTCTTCTGAGAGTCACATGGTCACCGCGATATGGCAGGCGTAGCACTTGTGACCCCCAAGGGGGGGCCGCCAGGGGTGTATCACATGCACGGTCGCACCCACAGTTGGGGGGGGAATTTCTCACGCGGTCCACCAGTTTCGGCGCAAGGGCGAGCCGCCAGGGGGTATATCACGAGCGCGTTCGCGCCCACACGTGGGGGGGATGCCTCAATCGGTCCGCCCCGTTCGGCGCTCCATGCTCCTCTCGAGAGCCCCATGATCACCGCGATGCAGCAGGCATCGCACTTGGGCACCCCCAAGGGCGAGCCCCCAGGGCAAGGGGAGGGGGGGGGGTGTCACGGGCACGTTCGCACCCAGAATCAAGGGCTCCCAACTTTGCGCTTCGCGCTGCGCGAAGCGCTAATTGCGAATAACTTCGCGCTCTCGCGCCGCCTCCCAGGGGAGAAGAGGAGGATGAGGAGGAATCGGGGCCGAACCGCGAAGCGCGAATAACTTCGCGCCCTCGAGGAAGCCCTTGGACTCTCTCCTCTTCGGAGGCCAATGACCACCGCGATGGAGCACGCATGCACTTGGGCACCCCAAGGCGGGAGCCACCGAGGCGTGATGCACGTGCCAAGTCGCGTCTGGGTCGTGGGGCCCCTCAAGCGACGTGCTGACGCGGGCACCCCCGACGCCTCCCTCCTTCGGAGTCCCAAACATCATGCCGACGAAACAAGCATAGCATTTGGGGAGATGCCAGGGAGCGCTCAGCTCAGTCGCGATAGGCTAGGATAATTCACATCAGATCGGGCGCCCCCGAACGGGGCGGTGACCACACCGTGCAGTGAGTCAGTGGGGATTCGGGGTCACCGCACGGTTTTGGGACTCGGGTCGTTCTCCGAGGACGTCTCGGGCGACTGGGGCCTCCGAGGTCCCAAGACCGTGCGGTGACGGACCGTGCTGTGAGGTCTTGGGGGAGTTCGAGGTCACCGCACGGTCTGTCACCGCACCGTTTCGGGACTCCAAATAAGACGTGCACAGACGAGGGCGCCGGGAACCGGTATGCACAGAGGGGGGCCTCCGCGCCGAGTGTTTCCGACAAGTAGTATAGCAAAGGCGCGCGGGTTGCCCCCCCTCCTTGGCGACAGGAGGCCAGGTGGAAGAGGAGGAGTACCCAAGGAATGAGGATGGGAATGGGGAGGGATGATCGAGAAGTGAGGAGTGGGAGGGAGGGAGGGGGGAGGATGGGGAAACAAATCCGAAGAAGGGGGGGGAGAGGAGCAGGACGGGGCGGTAGTGAAGAGGGAGGCGGGGGGACGGGGGAAGCCGAGGACAGGCGGGGAAGCAGCAGGGAGGCAGGGCGGCACGAGATGAAAACGAAGGCGGCGGAGGAGGAGGAGGAGGAAGATCAGGAGGATGACAAGGAGGAAGAGGAGGAGGCTCAGCAACAGGAGGAGGAGAAGGCGCGCGTGCGTGCGTGCGTGCGTGCGTGCGGGCGGGCGGGCGGGCGCGTGTGGGAGTGTTGTGGGTGCGTGCGTGGGGGCGCGCGCGCGTGCGTGCGCGGACGTCTAGGCGGGTTGGACGGGCAGCGCGTAGGTGGAGGCCAAGGGGGGGGGCAGCGCGTACGGCGGGGACGTCCGCCTGCGCACGGGCGAGGCTCCACGGCAGGCACGGGCTCCCTGGGGCCCCCCTCACAGTGTGGCAGGCCCCCCAAGGACAGGGCACGTGCCAGGGCACTTGCTCCTATGCGGGGCCGCCCTGCTTGGGGCCCCCACTCAGGGCGAGCGCCGCCGACCGCCTCTGCCCGAGGCGCTGGCCGCGACGTCCTGCTTAAGGCGAAGAGAAGGAGTAGAGAAGAAGAAACGGTCGCCGAGAAGGAGTAACAGCCGCTGGACGCCGTGTTCGTCGACACCACGCCGTACAGCGCGCCGAGCCGCCGCGGGTTGGACAGGAGGGGCTGCCGCAGCAAGCCCCGCGGCGCCTGAGAGACACCCCTCCTCCTCCTCCGCCTCCTTGTCCACCCCCCTCCTCAGCCTTCTCTTCTCCACCGCCTCCTTCTCCTCCTCCTCCTGCTCCTCCTCCTCCTCGTCCTCCTCCTCCTCCTCCTCCTCCTCGTGGTGCTCCTCCTCCGTCAGCATCCCCTCCCTCCTCCAGCACCACCACCTCCTCCTCCTGCTGCTGCTCCTCCTCCTCCTCATCTTGGTGCTCCTCCTGCTGCTCCTGCTCCTGCTCCTGCTCCTCCTCCTCATCATGATGATGATGATGATGATGATGATGATGATGATGATCATGATCATGATCATGATCATCATCACCATCACCATCACCATCATCATCATCATCATCATCATCATCATCATCATCATCCATCATCATCATCATCATAATCATCATCATCATCATCATCATCATCATCATCATCATCATCATCATCATCATCATCATCATCATCATCATCATCATCATCATCATCATCATCATCATCATCATCATCATCATCATCATCATCATCATCATCATCATCATCATCATCATCATCATCATCATCATCATCATAATCATCATAATCATCATCATCATCATCATCATCATCATCATCCTCATCATCCTCATCATCCTCATCATCGTCCTCATCATCAGCATCATACTCACAATCATACTCACAATCATCATCATCGCCATCATCATCAGCATCATCATCATGCTCATCATCATCATCATCATCATCACCATCATCATCATCATCAGCATCATCATCAGCATCATCATCAGCATCATCATCATCAATCATCATCATCATAATAATCATCGGCATCATCATCATCATCATCATCATCATCATCATCACAATCACCATTACCATCACCATCACCATCACCAACAACATCATCAACATCCTCATCACCGTGTTCCTCCTCCTCCTTCTGCTCCTCCGCTCTCCTCTAATTCCTCCTCCTCCTCCTTTGCCACCGCTCTCCTCCTGAGATGCCCAGGCACTGATGGCAGGAAGGTCTCCCGGTCAGGTCAGCCACTGGGGGGGAGATAAAACCAGTGAGCCAGGTCACTCCAGGGGCGGTCGGCCTGGAGTCACTGGCTGGAGAGGTCAGCTGCAAAAGAGTCATAGCAGAAATACGACAGCACGACAGCATCAGAAAAAGACCGATCCTCCTGCTCCTCCTCCTCCTCCTCCTCCTCCTCCTCCTCCTCCTCCTCCTTCTCCTCGCGCCCTCCCTGGTTGGATAGCGGGGCACTGGGAGCGCTCAGGGATCCCAGACCCCCGACGCCGTGATTTGTTCACAACGTCGACCCCCAGAAGTCTCGACCCATTCCCAGGCACCAGTGCTTCATACCTGGGACCGGCGAGAGCCCCCAGAGGCCGAAAACAACGAAAGGGTCTGGAATGGCGGGGGCGCCCCCCCCCGCTCGGGCTGGTCGGTGCCGCCCGCACCGGCGGGCCGACTGCAAGCAGAACTCAAGCGATCAGCCGCAGAACCGGCGGAGGCGGGGCCCCTTCTGTGGGGCCTCTCGAGCGTGCCCGCTCTTCCTGGGGTGGGTGGTGTGCCCAGCGTGGGGAGATCCATGACGCCCCCCCACTCCCAAACATCCAGCATCTCAAAAACATCGAGACGGAGGTTTTCATCGTTTTCGGTCTCTCGGGGCCCTCACCAAGCTTCGGGACCGTCGAAAACCGGGCGGGGATGAAAAACCGGCCCCGTGGAAGTGGTCGAGAGGTTTGGGGCCCGTGTCTCGAAAAAATATCAGGACGGGTGGGTGGTGTGCCCAGTTGGGAGAGCCCAGTGGCGGGAGACGCCCCCAATTTCCATAGAGGAATTTCCAATTTCCAACTACAGAATTGAACAAGCACTTTCCACTTCCGACGGTCCGCACGAGCGCGTTTCTCTATTCTTGGCGATCATGGACATTATAGGGGGGGAGGGGGCCAGGGGGAGGGGTATAATGTAACGCCCCCCCCCTGCCGTGCGCAGGGCGGCAGTGCACAGAGCGCCCAACGGGGGGGGGACGGGCGTTCAGTCGGGCCGCTAAACAAGGAACGAAACCCCTTCTTGGCCCTGTAAGCGCCTCCGTGCCCCAGGAGGGCAGGAGGAGCAGCACTGCAGGAACCTAAGGAACATCGAACCCCTTCCGAACCCAAGCTGCTCCTTATTCCAGCGTCTTGTCTGTAGTGCCCACTATGTCCAAACAATACAGGAGCACGCTCCGCGGATGTGTTGGAGCCGCGCTGCGGCGCCAGAGGCGCTGCCAGGGGGGCCCAGCGTGGGTCCAAGAGGTCCACGCGGGCAGTCGAATGTTTATGTTTTTTTTTGGTTGTGGCCGGCGGTGGCCAGGGGGCACACGAACAGATACAGTGGGAGCTCGACCACAGGAAACCTTCCACAAGAAACAAAACCTTGAGACCCCAGGGCGTCCATTGATTTTTGGTGTGGGAACGTCACGCCTTCTATAGCAAAGCCATCGAAACCCAAGAGGCCCAGGGCACCCTAGAGGCAAGCAGGGTGTTTCTTGGCATCGGTCTCCACTGTACACCCCTGCTTGGATGGGATGATAATTCCCGACTCACGTGGTGACAAAACACGACGGGGAAATTGTTGTGTCAGAGTGAGGGGGCCGAACGGTCATTCACTGTCCCTGGGTGCGCGGCTGAAGTGGAATTCCGCGGTGCGGATTCCAGTTGTTGTTTGTTGTTGTTTGTTGTTTGTTGTCGTCGTCCCACCCGCAACCGACCCAACGACCCACCCGCGACCCACCCCGCGGCCCACCCCGCGACCCACCCGCGACCCACCCGCGACCCATCCCGCGAGCCACCCCGCGACCCACCCCGCGACCCACCCCGCGACCCACCCCGCGACCCACCCCGCGACCCGCCCGCGGCCCAAAACGCGACCCACACGCGACCCACCCAAGACCCAACCGCGACCCACCCGCGACCCACCCGCGACCTACCCCGCGACCCACCCGCGACCCACCCGCGACCCAAACCACGTTCAAGGTACAAACCACCATTTTCGGCGCCTGCGGCGTGTTTTTTTCCATTCCTTCCAGGTGGAGAGCCCGCGACCCACCCCGTGACCAACCCGCGACCCAACCCGCGTTCACGGTACAAACCACATTTTTCGGCGCCTGCGGCGGGCATGTTTTGCATTCCTTCCAGGTGGAGAGCCCGCGACCCACCCCGTGACCAACTCGCGACCAACCCGTGACCCAAACCACGTTCAGGGTACAAACCACATTTCTCGGCGCCTGCGGCTGGCATTTTCTGCATTCGTTTCAGGTGGAGAACCCGCGGCCCACCCGCGTCCACGTTCAGGGTACAAACCACATGTCTCGGCGCCTGCGGCGGCCATTTTTTTGCGTTCGTTCCCGGTGGAAAACCCGCGGCCCACCCGCGACCCAAACCACGTTCAGTGTGCAAACCATTTTTTTGGCGCCTGCGGCGGGCTGCTTTTGCATTCCTCCCAGGTGGAGGTGGAGAGCCCGCGACCCACCCGCGCCCTAAACCACGTTCACTGAACAAACCAATGCCGCACAAGCGCGGCGGCGGATTTGTGCATGCCGTCTGAGCCCGCAAGGACCTCTTCAAGCCCCGCGCATCCACGCCAGCCCGTCCAGCAACTCTGCCCTGGCGAATTGCCTTGATCAGAAAAGGCGGGAAGCATAAGCTGGAAAAAAGGATTGCGTTGCAGTTATCTTGGGGAAGGAGGGGGAGGCAGGAAGAGTAAACAGGGGACGCAGGAGAACGCGGAAGAAGAGAGGATGTAAGGATAATGTGGAGAAAGAAAAGGAGGAGGAGCAGGAGGACGAGGAGGGGGAGGAGGGGGAGGAGGGGGGAGGAGGACGAGGAGGGGGAGGAGGGGGAGGATGATGATGATGATGGACGACAATGGGAGGACGATGATGGAGGCCGATGAGGGGGAGGACGACAATGGGAGGACGATGATGAAAAGGACGAGGGGGGGAGAGGGAGGACGAGAAGAAGAAGAGGAGGACGAGGTGGAGGAGGAGGATGACGATGACGATGAGGACGAGGACGAGGACGAGGAAGAGGACAGGAGGAGGAGGAGGAGGAGGAGGAGGAGGAGGAGGAGGAGGAGGAGAGCGCCATCGACAGGGAAGGTGGGGGCCACGAGGTCCGCCGGCTCGACGACGCCCGCATCGCCCGCGCCCGCCCCCTCACTCTTATCCGCAATTGCGGGCTGCTACGTATTTCCCAACCATCCTGTGGTGTTGGATCCTCGTTTTGAAGAGACGGTCCCCGCGTTCCTCTCCTCCTCCTCCTCCCCCTCCCTCCCCCCTCTCCTCCCTCTTCCCTGCGTTTCACCCACCCAGTACAGCGTTTCGTGGCCCCATATGGGGGCTCCACCGAAGGTTCCGGTGGCACCGCCCGTATGCGTCCGCCACCACCCAGCACAGCCCTTGCTCCCTGCGTTTCACCCACCCAGTACAACGTTTCGTGGCCCCATAACGTGAAGGTCCCTGTGGCACCGCCCGCATGCGTCCGCCACCACCCAGCACAGCCCTTGCTCCCTGCGCTTCACCCACCCAGTACAACGCTTCGTGGCCCCATAGGGAGCTCCACCGAAGGCCCCAGTGGCACCGCCAGCATGCGTCGGCCACCACCCAGCACAGCCCTTGCTCCCTGCGTTTCACCAACCCAAAACAACGCTTCGTGGCCCCATGAAGGGGGCTCCACCGAAGGTCCCAGTGGCACCGCCCGCATGCGCCCGCCACCACCCAGCAAAGCCCTTGCTCCCTGCCCCACCCAGTACAGCGCTTCGTGGCCCCATAGGGAGCTCCACCGAAGGTCCCAGTGGTACCGCCCGCATGCGTCCGCCACCACCCAGCACAGCCCTTGCTCCTTGCGTTTCACCCACCCAGTACAGCGCTACGTGGCCCCATAGGGAGCTCCACCGAAGGTCCCAGTGGCACCGCCCGCATGCGTCCGCCACCACCCAGCACAGCCCT